CAACTACTACAACTACTACAACTACTACAACTACTACAACTACTACAACTACTACAACTACTACAACTACTACAACTACTACAACTACTACAACTACTACAACTACTACAACTACTACAACTACTACAACTACTACAACTACTACAACTACTACAACTACTACAACTACTACTACTAAGCATTAATACGAACTAATACTATTACTAAGTACTAAGTCATGTTGACGGTCCCAAGCCCGTGTAAAGAGGGAGGGCCAGGGTTGTCTCCAGTGCAATGCAGTGGATCGGGTGCAATGGGTCAGCTGCTCGTTCACCTTCAATTCCTTGCTACAGAATTATCAAACTCTCTGTGAGGCCAGCAACTGGGCAAAGCCCCCAGTGGCTTGATGAGAAGAGGGGTAACTCGTTATGATCGAGAGGATTCTGTCAACTTTACAGTACGTCAGTTAGCACTGAACCGAGTGGAATGTAGAAACCTGTTACGTCGTACTAGAGATGTGTGTGATTCAGGCCACTCCAATAGGAAAGGAGAGCGGAGACCTCTTCATGCAGCATGCATATTTAATGGATGGTTTACTAGTTACTACACTATAAGCTGGTATCTACACCGGGACTCTTCTAATTCATACAGGGAGCAGCAGAATTATACCTGTATAGTTAGACTTCTCATACATAATACAGAACAGACTAGGGGTGGTATTGTATGGTGTGGGGGAGGGGGTAGCAGAGTGTAGTTCAAGTACTTTAGTAGCAGCGTGTACTTCAGGTACTCTAGTAGCAGTTGAAATTACCAATTCCAATCACCAGATCCCAATGCGTAAGTGCTCCATAGCTGATAGCGGCACAGCTTCTCACATAAAAGGTAAAAGCCAGCCGACTATCTATATTGTATGCAACTGGAAAGTGTAGCACGATTTACCTGCAGGTAATTTCATTGGCAGAACGCAGTTATATGTTGTACAGGCGAGGTTAATGAGATTAGGTAGTATTGTGAGCTGTAGCTTTGTGGGCCACGGGGCAATCAGGCGATTACAGCAACATCCTGACAGCAAACTTAGCCCCTCTTCCAGTAATTTGTCTATTAGACGCTAATTGATCGAGATCTGTTCTAATTTCAGGTTTCTTCGCCGAGTAGTAATAATTCCTAATGATTGTGATTCACGGTGTTGTTTTCAACGAGAATAGAAACTTGGAGACTTGGAGACTTGGAAACCTGGAAACTTGGAAACTTGGAAACTTGGAAACTTGGAAACTTGGAAACATGAATACTTGGATACTTGGAGACTTGGAAACTTGGAAACTTGGAAACTTGGAGACATGAATACTTGGATACTTGGAGACTTGGAAACTTTGAAACTTGGAAACTTTGAGACTTGGAGACTTGGAAACTTGGAAACTTGGAAACTTGAAGACTTGGATACTTGGAGACTTGGGGACATGAATATTTGGATAAGACACCCTCCAAATTTTAAATGGCAGGGTACCCGTGATCGCGGGTCGAACTGTTAAATAATATACATTATTGAGTACCTACGCAGAATGCAAGACCTTTTTAAGAAACTTATATTATGCGTACTAAAATTGCTGAAAAGGGCAAGACTCTTACAAAGTTACAGCAACGTTGCCAACTGGATTCGAATCAAAATAAGTTTACTTTATCTGAAATAAATATTATCATGTATCAGAGGTACAACTACAAGAACTTAATTGAAAGTCAACTTCATTAGCGCGCGAGGACTTCCATTTAGAAATTTAAATTGTAATGAAGCTAATTTAGAAAATATTTAATATCGTTTTGATTATTGTATTTATGTATTGTATTGCAGTATTGGTCAGTATTGATGTAATATGTATTATATATATTTCGAAAATTTTATTGAGTACGCTTATATGGCATGGTATGACTATGACTATGACTATGAGTATGAGCCTGAGGTCAAAAACAAATATGCTTCTACATATTTGTATATTGCAAATATTATTATTTGGAGTCGGCCCCCGCTCTTTGCGCGGGACTTTCCAGAGCGTGCTAAATCACTCTACAGTCGATCTTCGGATCGTTCTAAAAGGGCCCCCAACAGTTTAAACCAACTTCAATCGATGTATTTCGGACGCTGTTTCCGAATCACCCCCCCATGACATAGGGTTAAAATGCTCCCCTAGCTGTCGAGATATTGGCGAAAAACTGTCTCGATTACGTGATATGACCGTATAAGGAAGTTAGTCTAATTTCTCGTTAGGGTTAGAGTTTCAGCATATGCTTTTGTTAAGGATTGGGTTAAGGTTAGCCTTAGGGTTGGGATCAGATTAAAGGGTTAGGGTTTCGAATAGTCGTTCAGGACCAGCTAGAGAACGGGTTGAAAAAGTCACGTGACAGTCGAGTGTAGAGTGATTAATCATCATCCGGACTTTCCCTTTTTCATAGTTGATCTACAAGACTAGCTTAAGCCAGGTAACTAAATTCTACAAGTTATACTAAATTGCGTAATCATAGCCCGTTAATGATGTAACCTTTAATTTCTCCATAGCTTCACTTAAAATTAAACAATTACTGATAGCACCATTAGCTAAAGCCAAAGGGTAAAACTAAAAGCTAAGATGAGAAGTACGTACCTACCTGGCTTAAAGTACGTACGGTACGAGGTTTTTATTAGTACGTACCTAAGTCTACCACTACTTGTGGCCACAAGTACGAAATTTGTTTGAAAAAATGGTCTCCGCTCCATCTTTTTGTTCCCTCGAGTATTTTTATTGCGTCGATTGAACGTTAAATTGACCGGGATATATTTAATAATTGATATTACATTTTGCTACCGAATCAAACGTATTTTCGTAAAAAGTACCTACAATTTGAGAAAAAAGCGCCCCACTTCTAATTGGTTTCAGTTACTTTGAAATAATTGTTATAGACATACTCATAGTCGCGTTGTAATATTTATTATTTCTAAAATTTTTGACCGCGCACAAAAAGGAGTTTACAACGTGTATCAAAGGCGACTCAATATGCATTTGCCGTTTGATAATATGTCCTTCAAGACACACGTCAATTATTAGCGCTCAAAGCGAACGACTTTTCGGGGATATTACGTCCTGAGAACATTATAATACACATTTCTTTTTGTCCTCAGAGTGGAACTCCTGCTAGCTACACTCAAGGACTGAGGACTCCCTAAGTATATACCATAATTATATTTATAAACATAAATAACAATCAATTTCAACGCAAAAAATATCGGGAGTCTTGAAGCTGTCGCTACCTGGTAGCGGTTCAGGTCTCATGGTGCTTAGACTTAGAGTTAGACTTAGAGCAAACTCTTTTCCCTTGTATAAACCTCCGCGAGCGCCAGGCAGGGACTTTATTCCGAGCGAGGCCCTGGCCTGGCGAAGTTTTTTTGTGGGGATACAAGCCTAAGTTGGATTTCCAGTGCATGGCAGGGCTTGACGGATGTTACTCGTATAAATTTCTTCGAAGTAGCGCGCGCCGCTTTCTTCTCGAAATTATAGCACTTGCCCAATACAAGGCAAGTGCTACAAGTACAAAGTAGCGTGCGCCGGGCTAGTCCATTTACAATGGACAATTGCAGGGCCATGGCATGGTGAGAGTTCCTGGGGAAGGTTGCTGGGGAGGTTATCCAAATAGGTTGTCCTTTATCAATCATCTGTTCCACAAATTTGAAAATGTGGTTAAGTCTACTATTGAGTTCCTCCATTGTAATAATTATAAGGAGATTGTTGGAGGACTTCGCCGCTTCGACGCGCCGCGCGAACTAGCATTCTTGCTTCGCATCGATGATCGAAGCAACGTCGACGAAGCAACGTCGACGAAGCAACGTCGACGAAGCAACGTCGACGAAGCAACGTCGACGAAGCAACGTCGACGAAGCAACGTCGACGAAGCAACGTCGACGAAGCAACGTCGACGAAGCAACGTCGACGATCGTTGCTCTGCTTCGCAGAGCAACGATCTCGACGGATTGACATCGTCAATCAAGGAGATTGATACACGTGTAGCAGTATATTAATATAAGGAGAGGTTTGCCGAAAATCCTCATCCTCATCCTGAGCGTCATGTGCTGAATATATGCTAAAAGTGCTGGGATGTTTCAGCTTCTCAGCAGTGTCACAATCTTGCGTCTCGAAGTTGACGTTATTCGCCACGTGCTGATAATATGCTAGTGGCCTGTGGCCTGTCAGCCCGCTAGCATATTCGCAATACACATATAATTATAACCAGAGGAGTTTATAACGGGTAAAAAATCAATAAATTGAATCTACCCCAGTGTTTTAGAGAGTTTTCCAATAACAATCTTATTGTGAAACGCAGTGCTGTTCAGCGTTTCATCTTATTGTTAATACATATAATTGTTAATACATCCAAACTTTAAGCTTTTAAGTTTGCCATTTCCAAACCTTGAGCTGCTCTAACAGTGTGTCACCATGGCTAACAGTTTCAATATGAAATAGTTTAATCTTCCATCTTCATTAAGGGTATTAAACCACCACCTGTTGAACACACTTCTCGCACAGTAGGGGATCAAGTCAAGTGCTTGTGATACGATTAATATCACAACCAGTCAACCAATAGCTTGTTACTTAGAAGGGCACGTGGCTAGAGCCAGCCAAACACAGCTCTTCAAGACGATCATATGGTGGGTTTATAAGACATGGTGTGTTAGTTAGGAAACATGTATTCTTCTTATCAGGTTCAGACACATTTGTAGTGGTTGCGATCGCTTACTCTTCTTATCAGGTTCAGACACATTTGTAGTGGTTGCGATCGCTTACTCTTCTTATCAGGTTAAGAAAACTTTCATTTTCCTTTTACTAAAATCCATATTTCATATCAACCAGTTGTTTTCCTATAACTAAAATCTATACATTTACCTAACTCAGAGAATGCAAGGCCGTGACCCATCTCAGCTAGAAAGCACAACGCAAACCTCACATGACATCACTCAAGCCTCGCGTGACGTCACACAGCCCTCGCGTGACGTCACACAAATGACGTCACTAAAACAGAAGTCAGTTCAGATCACTAACCGGAGGTTATCTGCTTCTACATATCAGGGCTCAACTACTTCAGAGGAAACTCATGTACAATCACAGGTTTGCTTGTGTGGCGATAGTAGTAAGTACTTAAGTAGGTACCTGAGTAAGTACCTGAGTAAATACCTGAGTGAGTACCTGAGTAAGTACCTGAGTAAGTACCTGAGTGAGTACCTGAGTAAGTACCTGAGTAAGTACCTGAGTAAGTACCTGAGTAAGTACCTGAGTTAGTACTTGAGTAAGTACTTGAGTAAGTACTTGAGTAAGTACTTGAGTAAGTACTTGAGTAAGTACCTGAGTAAGTACCCGAGTAAGTACCTGAGTAAGTACCTGAGTAAGTACCTGAGTATGCGGGGGGAGGAGGCTACTTCCCCGCTTTACCTGGATACCTAGGAAGACAAGGCCCCAAGGAAAATAAAAGCTTAAGTTATCACAGAAAATCTAACATAGATAATTTTCAGCTGGCCTATGAAAACACGTACCAACTAGAACCATATCCACACCAGCTGTTCTCCGTGAAACGTATTCAGGACATCATCAAAGCAGTTTTCATTCAAAAGTTAGAAAACGTCAAGTAAGTTACTGCAATAACTATAAGTACATAACCTAACTTGCAGAAGGTACGAGTCTAAATTTCACCACCTTTGTTATATTATTAACATATATAATATGTAGCTTCCCTAAATATGATACATCGGCCTAATCCCTGGATATTGTGTTTGTCGCTGTTGTACAGTACCTTGCATATGCATGACAGTAAGTAGTTATAAACAGTTGTTATAAACATTGTACAGCAGGAGTGTAGGAATGATTTTCTTCATGGAATCATGGGGGGCCAAATTCTAAATATTTTTTGTCTGAATTTCGAAACATTTTCAGGTAAGGACAAATAACACGGGAGGACTATAGTGCAAAGAAACTGCTGCTCACAGTAGCAATAACAGTGTTATTGTTATTGTTATTGTTATTGTTATTGTTATTGTTATTGTTATTGTTATTGTTATTGTTATTGTTATTGTTATTGTTATTGTTATTGTTATTGTTATTGTTATTGTTATTGTTATTGTTATTGTTATTGTTATTGTTATTGTTATTGTTATTGTTATTGTTATTGTTATTGTTATTGTTATTGTTATTGTTATTGTTATTGTTATTGTTATTGTTATTGTTATTGTTATTGTTATTGTTATTGTTATTGTTATTGTTATTGTTATTGTTATTGTTATTGTTATTGTTATTGTTATTGTTATTGTTATTGTTATTGTTATTGTTATTGTTATTGTTATTGTTATTGTTATTGTTATTGTTATTGTTATTGTTATTGTTATTGTTATTGTTATTGTTATTGTTATTGTTATTGTTATTGTTATTGTTATTGTTATTGTTATTGTTATTGTTATTGTTATTGTTATTGTTATTGTTATTGTTATTGTTATTGTTATTGTTATTGTTATTGTTATTGTTATTGTTATTGTTATTGTTATTGTTATTGTTATTGTTATTGTTATTGTTATTGTTATTGTTATAATTGTTATTGCTATTTTATCCCGCAGATACACATCCGATAGTTTTAGACTGATGTCTATCCAGCTGAGTGAACAGATCAAGACACAAGTAAAACAGGAGCTGTCATTCAACAACAGGTGCGATCTGAACTAAATATTTTACGCAATTTTTCCGCCAGTATTGTGATGATAAGTGACTATTTCAGTACATTAAGCTGTTACTTGAAAAAAAAAACCACTTTGGCCGCAGTGACGATTTCGAGGTAAACCCTGGTTCATGCTTCGTTAACAAGTCATAAAAATTAAAAGTGTGCATAAAATATAAAAGTGTGCATTTTGTGATTGTGTCTTTATCGCAGGTACAAGATAGTGGTCATGGTTACCATGGCACCGAAACAGTCACAAGCCATCCAGATAGCATCAAGGTGCATGTGGTACACGCCCACTGACAAGTTCGCGTCTTGGGAATTTACCGCAGACACTTTCTTCGCTGTGGGAGTCGTGTTCGGATTGTATTACGAGTAAAAATAAATTAAACTTCAGTGATCAATTGGGAAGCTTTCAGACATGGGCGCCGCCGTAAACGCATAGGCGGGCGGCGGCGTGAAGCCATAATTTGGTCAGCGGCGGCGGCGTTTGACCGGCGTGGAAAATTTTACCCGAACCATTGCTCAATTTTGTTCATGGAAATTTTGAGCGTAAGGACGAGGACTGACGTTCAAATTAGTTCACTACTTTAGTAGGCTAACTAATATTAAATATGTTGTTCAGTTCAACATTTATGATATCCATTTTTCAACCAGTAATTACTGTTAAAAAGACTCAGCATTCAGCTATGTGAAATTTACAGCTTATTGACCACAGGGTATTTGAATTGATGTTAAAATGTGTAACCGCGTCAGTCGTGGTTGCCATCACTTGATAGGTATTGACTGCTGATCGTAGTCGAGTTGTTTAACTTAAAACAAATCACATATAATTCGGCACAATCCACGTCCAAACTGTTGAAAACGCAAATTGCCTCAGCTCTTGTCAAAGTAATTAAATTTGCAAGTGATGCGCAGAAAATGCGCACGTTTAAATGCTGGCAAATAAGATGCTTATATCCTAAAATACCAGAAATGCGGATAAATTTTGACGGCAGTGTGCGCAAATCATTTTAATGAGGCGCAGCGTGTAGTTGTACTTGTATAGTAGCTAAGATCCCTTCTGCACGACGTAACCTTACTGGGCCGCGCTCAGCCTGTCATTCCGCCAAATCTTTATTATGTTAATGAACATAATAGCCTGGGGTCCTCAGGTAAGACGTAACCTAACTCCAAAATACTATTATTTTTTCGACATTCATGTACCTAATTATTGTTTTATCCTTCACAGTTTCAGCTCAGCAACAACAAGTTCCAATTAGGGGCCATCTACTTAGGACGTCCACCAAAATCGCAAATTTTCAGACCACCCCCCTCCCTCTGTCCGGGTGTGTCCGAATTTTCGAAACCACCTCTCTCTCATCTTAGGAAAAGGAAAACAAAAAATCTTGTTCAACACCTAAAATTTTCAGGATACGCTCACAACTTCTTTAAAATATTTTTAATAATTGCAGTTGGTAAAAACCAGATTTCTAAAATTGTCTGGAGACCTTTTGGCCGTTATAATAAGCCCCCGGCCCTCCGACCACACTTTTTCTATTGGTGCAGCATATTATGTGGCAGGTGTGTTAAAGCATAAAGCATGCATGCTTTATGCTTCATGAAAGAGCGCTCTGGTTAGTTTAGCAAGGATTGGGTATTCGGACAGCGTTATTTTAGTTAAAATGAAATTATCAGCTTTTTTTTCGAAACTCAATTAGCTGAAAAATTTGAAAACGGCGCGCCGTTCAAAATTTCAAGGTGGCGGCGGCGTGAGTTATTTCATGGCGGCGTCGTATGACCGGCGGCGCCTATGTCTGGTTCTGCCACCTGTAACCTGCTAAATTTAACCAAAGTTCTGAATGTTTGCGGAGTTATCCGACCAAATTCTGAATGTTTACGAAGTATATCCGACCAAGTTCTGAATGTTTTTGGTAGAAAGCTAATAATAAAATTGATAATAAAGTATTATTACCCGAGTAATAATACTCGGGTAATAACATTACCAAAAAGAGTTTGGTAAGATATTTCTTATCCAAATATAATCCATTTTTCACATTACAGAAATACCGCCGATCCAGGTGGCTAATCATCTAAAAATGGCTGTTTTGTATTGACCTTATAGGTGATCAATAAATACAAATAGACAACGCTTCCAAACATCTTACATAAACTAGTTTTTGTTCTTTTCGTCATATCAAAATTGTGGGAATCCGTCTCCCCCTCCGGGCATGTTTAAAACATTTGTCCAAGGTTCTGTCTCTTTGTGTCGAGACGGTGGTGAGCTGAAAGAGATAAGGTTCAACCTTGGTTCGCTTCATTATATATAATATAACACCAGAATGTGTGTGTGTGTGTCTGTCTGTCTGTCTGTCTGTCCGTGTGTAATTTCCGGTCGGTTATACAAAAAAAACGGTAAGAGTTACGGGACTGATTTTTTCGGTATAGTGTCGACAAAACTCTGATGAAGCCCATAGGAAATTTTTTTTTAAATCGGCCGATGGTAAGTGGTTTAATTGATGGTTTTGTACCACAAATGTTACATAAAATTGCGTGAGCAGAACGGCAAGAGTTACGGGGCTTGCTCTCTCTCTCATTACTGTGTAATATGTTTTAGCTGCATTTAAGTAGCGTCATAATTGGATTAGCCTGGAAGATTCGCTGTAATGTTATACCTTAAGCTTATTAGGGGAGGGGGGACTGTTAGTGTTTGGGGTCTGTTTGGACTGCAGAGAGAGAGAGAGAGAGAGAGAGAGAGAGTTCATACGACAATGTTATGCGTGTTTTCAAATATAATATGCGGGTGTGGTGCGGAGTTAACAAGGGTTAATTTCTATAACGATTTAAATAAAAATAGAAAGCGATTCAAGACGGGAGTGATGAGGTGTAATACTCGGTGTTCAGACCTTATGATCATGGAGTGTGGTGCCTCATGGCTAATAATGACTTAATTATCCACAAGAAATAACTGATTATGAGATTATTGTTTAAGAAACTATTGGGTCACCTAATGCGGGTTTTGACTCAGCGGGTAATTACTCCTACCCTTTTTAACTGCGGCAGTGAAATCCCGGCCGTAGGCCGGGTTACACTAGTATATAATATAGAGAATCCAGTGAGTTATACCATTGGCCACTTAGACTTGATGATAGAAATTTGTCAAGGATCTTTAGGGGAGGCATATTATCTGTCCTGTTACCAATGGCACACAGCATCGATCCTTTTTGTGGTGTATCTTTATTTTTAGTGTGCAATACTGTAATACATCAATAAATCATCCTATGGTTCGTATATGATACTATTGATGTGATATTTGGTATGATTACTATATGATATAATTAAATGATATTTTCTGAATAGATATGTTTTTTGAGATGATTTAGTTGTTAATTGTTACTGAATATTTTCACCTCACCCTTTAGAACTGCTCTGACATGGTTAGTACCTGACATTCATGTGTTAGTTGTTAATCATATGGGCGGTATACAAGCACATTATTTCATTTCATTTTAACATTGTGTTTCATTGAGTTTCATTGAGTTTCATTGTGGTTCATTATGTTTCATTGTGATTTATTGTGTTTCAATGACGATAACATAATGTACGATTATGACAGGCAATTTGCGTGCCTGTCTCATTTTCATCGAAAGCATTTTAATGCTTGCTAGTTGCTATAGTGATCTCGCAATGTCATGCTGCTAGCAAAATTATTATATTTAGTCAGTAATCAGGTTATTGGTAGAGTGTAGTCAGGGTATAGTGGTAGTGTGTAGTTAGAGTAGTGGTAGTGTGTAGTCAGGGTAGTGGTAATGTGTAGTCAGGGTAGTGGTAGTGTGTAGTTAGAGTAGTGGTAGTGTGTAGTCAGAGTAGTGGTTACCTGAGGACCCCAGGCTATTATGTTCATTAACATAGAATAGAGATTAGGCGGAATGACAGGCTGAGCGCGGCCCAGTAAGAGTATAGTGGTAGTGTGTAGTCAGGGTAGTGGTAGTGTGTAGTCAGGGTAGTGGTAGTGTGTAGTCAGGGTAGTGGTAGTGTGTAGTCAGGGTAGTGGTAGTTTGTAGTCAGGGTAGTGGTAGTGTGTAGTCAGAGTAGTGGTAGTGTGTAGTCAGGGCCGTGGTAGTGTGTAGTCAGGGTAGTGGTAATGTGTAGTCAGGGTAGTGGTAGTGTGTAATCAGGGTAGTGGTAGTGTGTAGTCAGGGTAGTGGTAATGTGTAGTCAGGGTAGTGGTAGTGTGTAGTCAGGGTAGTGGTAATGTGTAGTCAGGGTAGTGGTAGTGTGTAGTCAGGGTAGTGGTAGTGTGTAGTCAGGGTAGTGGTAGTGTGTAGTCAGGGTAGTGGTAGTGTGTAGTCAGGGCAGTGGTAGTGTGTAGTCAGGGTAGTGGTAATGTGTAGTCAGGGTAGTGGTTCTGTGTAATCAGGGCAGTGGTAGTGTGTAGTCAGGGCAGTGTGTTAATGACGATGAGTGTAGTTATCTCTTCATCAGGTGATCTTATTACAATTTTATAAGAGCTGCTAATCTTGTTACCAACACAACACGTATATATATACATATCACCGGAGACTCGCGGGCGGAACAAAATATTGCACGCGCAAGCGCGTGCAATATTTCATATGTCCCCGAGGGCGCTAGCCCGAGGAGGACATATTTTCGTATAGCACGGAGGGCCCATCGGGCCCGAGTGCTATACGATTTTTCCGCCCGCGGGTCGAGGTGATGTGGATTATATCCACCAGCGGGCGTATTACAGTTCATATATAATTTTATAAATAAACAATGGAGCTTGTATAAAAGCCAACTCTAGAAAAGGTCGCCACTAATTGTTGTAACCATGGTAACACGTCACGTGTTCAATGTAAGCCAATCATAAAGGGCTGTGTCGTATATAGGGGCTGGAGATGCACTGCATTCCTGGGCCGTGGGAATAATGAATGTAATGTCAGTGACGATGAATATCAATAATATAGGGGGATTATAGTGCTGATGTGTATTATGTAGTGTGTTATAATAACTTTGATATAAATCAAAGTATCATGTCATCTGCTCACGAGCTGCATGAGCAGCCCTACCGGACACAAAAATAAAATGTATATATAGTCAGTGTAATAAGGAATTTCACATGGAGACGATACAGAAACTGAAAATATTTTGGAGAACTCCGGGCTATATTGCTACTGGTCAAATTTAATGTCACTTGTTAGCGGGCTATATCATGAGCGGGCTGTAGAGATATCGGGCCCTTTGACAGCGGGCTGGTGAGAGCCCGCTATGCGAAAAAGCGCACGCTGGTGGATATATTGCTATACTGTGCACGCCATTCATTTGTCATCCTTTATAGTAATAATGTGTTTATTGTACATCGCGTATAGTCTTAGAGTTGTATGAATGTATATTGTATATTGCATAGTTTCACAGTAATGTGTTAATGTATATTGTATGTTGTATAGTCTCACAGCTGCAGTGCGATTTTTTTGAAACTTCACTTAACCATGTTACTGTTCACTTTATAGTGTGTCTTGACAGTTAACATTTTAGTGTCTTGACAGTTAACATTTTAGTGTCTTGACAGTTAACATTTTAGTTGCTCTTTAATTTTATCAAGTGATGACGCGATTGTTCTGGTCAGTGTTTGTATAAACTGTATGTCATTTCTACATAGGAAGGTGAAAGTTGGGCCCGTAATGTTAATATAAACCACCAATGCTACATCTTAAGTTGTAGAACCACAAAAACTCGCCTCTTTACTGTGTATACAGTTTATACAAGCACTTACCGGTGTTTATATTCAATGTATATATGATTGGGATTTGAAAGTAAGAGCATGTACTAATTATCATTTTCCTGACAATGTGATAACATAATTTCATTATTTTAATATTCTCCCTTATATTGTTGGACGTTTTCCATGTTCCGGGCCAAATATTTCAGGATAGATTAGGATTATCGTCGTTCATATCAAATTGCAAAAATTCTTACTTTCTTAGTCCACGACTAACGATTCATTGAATTTCTCATTTCAACCTAGTCAGTTTTCTATTTTTCGATTGTTAGATGAGGTTACAGTGGACTAGTGTAGTCAGGGCACTCGCACTACACTTTTGCTTTGTCTCTCTATCTAATGCACTTACGTGAGTATTACCAAAACTGGGCTTTTATTTCAATCTTTGCGACTTCATGACATGGAAGTCATAGATATTGCTGTTATTGGTAAATCCCCCCACTAACAAATGTTGCCTCCTCCCTCTAACAAATGTTGCCTCCCTCCCCTCTCTAACAAATGTTACCTCCTCCCTCTAACAAATGTTACCTCCTCCCTCTAACAAATGTTGCCTCCTCCCTCTAACAAATGTTGCCTCCCTCCCCCTCTAACAAATGTTGCCTCCCCTCCCTCTAACAAATGTTGCCTCCCTCCTCTAACAAATGTTACCTCCTCCCTCTAACAAATGTTGCCTCCTCCCTCTAACAAATGTTGCCTCCCTCCCCCTCTAACAAATGTTGCCTCCCTCCCCCCTCTAACAAATGTTGCCTCCCTCCCCCCTCTAACAAATGTTGCCTCCCCTCCCTCTAACAAATGTTGCCTCCCCCTCTAAAAAATGTTGCCTCCCTCCCCCCTCTAACAAATGTTGCCTCCCCCCTCTAACAAATGTTGCCTCCCCTCCCTCTAACAAATGTTGCCTCCCTCCCCCTCTAACAAATGTTACCTCCTCCCTCTAACAAATGTTACCTCCTCCCTCTAACAAATGTTGCCTCCTCCCTCTAACAAATGTTGCCTCCCTCCCCCTCTAACAAATGTTGCCTCCCTCCCCCCTCTAACAAATGTTGCCTCCCTCCCCCCTCTAACAAATGTTGCCTCCCCTCCCTCTAACAAATGTTGCCTCCCCCTCTAAAAAATGTTGCCTCCCTCCCCCCTCTAACAAATGTTGCCTCCCGCCTCTAACAAATGTTGCCTCCCCTCCCTCTAACAAATGTTGCCTCCCTCCCCCTCTAACAAATGTTGCCTCCCTCCCCCTCTAACAAATGTTGCCTCCCTCCCCCCTCTAACAAATGTTGCCGCCCCTCTAACAAATGTTGCCTCCCCTCCCTCTAACAAATGTTGCCTCCCTCCCCCCACTAACAAATGTTGCCTCCCCCCTCTAACAAATGTTACCTCCTCCCTCTAACAAATGTTGCCTCCTCCCTCTAACAAATGTTGCCTCCCTCCCCCTCTAACAAATGTTGCCTCCCTCCCCCCTCTAACAAATGTTGCCTCCCTCCCCCCTCTAACAAATGTTGCCTCCCCTCCCTCTAAAAAATGTTGCCTCCCCCTCTAAAAAATGTTGCCTCCCTCCCCCCTCTAACAAATGTTGCCTCCCCCCTCTAACAAATGTTGCCTCCCCTCCCTCTAACAAATGTTGCCTCCCTCCCCCTCTAACAAATGTTGCCTCCCTCCCCCTCTAACAAATGTTGCCTCCCTCCCCCCTCTAACAAATGTTGCCGCCCTCCCCCCTCTAACAAATGTTGCCTCCCCTCCCTCTAACAAATGTTGCCGCCCTCCCCCATCTAACAAATGTTGCCGCCCCTCTAACAAATGTTGCCTCCCTCGCCCTCTAAAAAATGTTGCCTCCCTCCCCTCTCTAACAAATGTTGCCTCCCTCCCCCCTCTAACAAATGTTGCCTCCCTCCCCCCTCTAACAAATGTTGCCTCCCCTCCCTCTAACAAATGTTGCCTCCCCCTCTAAAAAATGTTGCCTCCCTCCCCCCTCTAACAAATGTTGCCTCCTCCCTCTAACAAATGTTGCCTCCCCCCCTCTAACAAATGTTGCCTCCCTCCCCCCTCTAACAAATTTTGCCTCCTCCCTCTATGAAATGTTGACTCCCCCCTTTAACAAATGTTGCCACCCCCTCTAACAAATGTTGCCTCCCTCCCCCCTCTAACAAATGTTGCCGCCCCTCTAACAAATGTTGCCTCCCTCCCCCCTCTAACAATTGTTGCCTCACCCCCTCTAACAAATGTTGCCTCCCTCCCCCCTCTAACAAATTTTGCCTCCTCCCTCTATGAAATGTTGACTCCCCCCTTTAACAAATGTTGCCACCCCCTCTAACAAATGTTGCCTCCCTCCCCCCTCTAACAATTGTTGCCTCCCCCCTCTAACAAATGTTGCCTCCCTCCCCCCTCTAACAAATGTTGCCTCCTCCCTCTAACAAATGTTGCCTCCCCTCCCTCTAACAAATGTTACCGCCCCTCCTCTAACAAATGTTGCCTCCCTCCCCCCTCTAACAAATTTTGCATCCCCTCCCTCTAACAAATGTTGCCTCCCTCCCCCCTCTAACAAATTTTGCCTCCCCTCCCTCTAACAAATGTTGCCTCCCTCCCCCCTCTAACAAATTTTGCATCCCCTCCCTCTAACAAATGTTGCCTCCCCCTCTAAAAAATGTTGCCTCCCTCCCCTCTCTAACAAATGTTGCCTCCCTCCCCCCTCTAACAAATTTTGCCTCCTCCCTCTATGACCTCCATCCCCCCTCTAACAAATGTTGCCTCCTCCCTCTAACAAATGTTGCCTCCCCTCCCTCTAACAAATGTTGCCTCCCCTCCCTCTAACAAATGTTGCCTCCCCCTCTATAAAATGTTGCCTCCCTCCCCCCTCTAACAATTGTTGCCTCCCCCCTCTAACAAATGTTGCCTCCCTCCCCCCTCTAACAAATTTTGCCTCCTCCCTCTATGAAATGTTGACTCCCCCCTTTAACAAATGTTGCCACCCCCTCTAACAAATGTTGCCTCCCTCCCCCCTCTAACAAATGTTGCCTCCTCCCTCTAACAAATGTTGCCTCCCCTCCCTCTAACAAATGTTGCCTCCCTCCCCCTCTAACAAATGTTGCCGCCCTCCCCTCTCTAACAAATGTTGCCTCCCTCCCCCCTCTAACAAATGTTGCCGCCCCTCCTCTAACAAATGTTGCCTCCCTCCCCCTCTAACAAATTTTGCTTCCCCTCCCTCTAACAAATGTTGCCTCCCCCTCTAAAAAATGTTGCCTCCCTCCTCCCTCTAACAAATGTTGCCTCCCCTCCCTCTAACAAATGTTGCCTCCCTCCCCCTCTAACAAATGTTACCGCCCTCCCCCTTTAACAAATGTTGCCTCCCTCCCCCCTCTAACAAATGTTGCCGCCCCTCCTCTAACAAATGTTGCCTCCCTCCCCCTCTAACAAATTTTGCTTCCCCTCCCTCTAACAAATGTTGCCTCCCCCTCTAAAAAATGTTGCCTCCCTCCTCCCTCTAACAAATGTTGCCTCCCCTCCCTCTAACAAATGTTGCCTCCCCTCCCTCTAACAAATGTTGCCTCCCCCTCTAAAAAATGTTGCCTCCCTCCCCCCTCTAACAATTGTTGCCTCCCCCCTCTAACAAATGTTGCCTCCCTCCCCCCTCTAACAAATTTTGCCTCCTCCCTCTATGAAATGTTGACTCCCCCCTTTAACAAATGTTGCCACCCCCTCTAACAAATGTTGCCTCCCTCCCCCCTCTAACAAATGTTGCCTCCTCCCTCTAACAAATGTTGCCTCCCCTCCCTCTAACAAATGTTGCCTCCCTCCCCCTCTAACAAATGTTGCCGCCCTCCCCCTCTAACAAATGTTGCCGCCCCTCCCCCCCCTAACAAATGTTGCCTCCTCCCTCTAACAAATGTTGCCTCCCCTCCCTCTAACAAATGTTGCCTCCCTCCCCCTCTAACAAATGTTACCGCCCTCCCCCTTTAACAAATGTTGCCGCCCCTCCCCCATCTAACAAATGTTGCCTCCCTCCCTCTAACAAATGTTGCCTCCCTCCCCCCTCTAACAAATGTTGCCTCCTCCCTCTAACAAATGTTGCCTCCCCTCCCTCTAACAAATGTTGCCTCCCTCCCCCTCTAACAAATGTTGCCTCCTCCCTCTAACAAATGTTGCCTCCCCTCCCTCTAACAAATGTTGCCTCCCTCCCCCTCTAACAAATGTTGCCGCCCTCCCCCTCTAACAAATGTTGCCGCCCCTCCCCCCTCTAACAAATGTTGCCTCCTCCCTCTAACAAATGTTGCCTCCCCTCCCTCTAACAAATGTTGCCTCCCCTCCCTCTAACAAATGTTGCCTCCCTCCCCCTCTAACAAATGTTGCCTCCTCCCTCTAACAAATGTTGCCGCCCTCCCCCATCTAACAAATGTTGCCTCCCTCCCCCATCTAACAAATGTTGCCTCCTCCCTCTAACAAATGTTGCCTCCCCTCCCTCTAACAAATGTTGCCTCCCTCCCTCTCTAACAAATGTTGCCCCCCCCCACCCTAACAAGTGTTGCCTCCCTCCCCTATAACAAATGTTGCCGCCAATGTTGCCGCGCCCCTCCCATCCCCCTCGCCCGCCCCCCTCTGACAAGATTTCATGATTTTCTCTGCAGAGCTGAAGGCAGTACTATAGAAGAACCAGAAACGATTGATTTGTTAACAGATGCTAAAGATATGAGACAAGCCATGAGTGGGTGGGGAACTAATGAGAATACTCTCATCAATATACTGACTCATAGGACTTACAACAATCGCTTAGTAAGTCATTAGTAATGATTCATAGGACTTACAACAATCGCTTAATAAGTCATTAGTACTGACCCATAGGACTTAAAACAATCGCTTAGTAAGTCATTAGTAATGATTCATAGGACTTAAAACAATCGCTTAGTAAGTCATTAGTACTGACCCATAGGACTTACAACAATCGCTCAGTAAGTCATTAGTACTGACCCATAGGACTTACAACAATTGCTTTATAGTAAGCCATTAGTACTGATTCATAGGACTTACAACAATCGCTTAGTAAGTCATTAGTACTGACCCATAGGACTTACAACAATCGCTCAGTAAGTCATTAGTACTGACCCATAGGACTTACAACAATCGCTTAGTAAGTCATTAGTACTGATTCGTAGGACTTACAACAATAGCTTAGTAAGTCATTAGTACTGACCCATAGGACTTACAACAATCGCTCAGTAAGTCATTAGTACTGACCCATAGGACTTACAACAATAGCTTAGTAAGTCATTAGTACTGACCCATAGGACTTACAACAATTGCTTAGTAAGTCATTAGTACTGACCCATAGGACTTACAACAATCGCTTAGTAAGTCATTAGTACTGATTCGTAGGACTTACAACAATCGCTTAGTAAGTCATTAGTACTGACTCATAGGACTTACAACAATGTTAATAACCATTCCTCCAGAAAATAACACAATTGTACCGAGAAACTTACTCTAAGTCCTTGTGGGAAGATATCAAGTCTGAAACAAGCAACCATTTTAGAACAACTCTAAAAGGGCTTGTGCTGCCAGAGGCTAGGTTCCTAGCAGAGGAGATGCGAAATGCTATGGTAAAATTTTTGCTTTACTTCGAGAAAGTAATATTGAAAGTATAGGTAGTACAGTGTTACTACTTCTATTGTTGCAGTTATATTGAAAGTATAGGTAGTGCAGTATTACTACTTCTATAGCTATATTGCTACTTCTAGAGCGGTTGGGGGACAAATGAAGACACCTTGCTGCTGTGTCTGATGCTAACAGTTAATGACTACGACACAGTGCAGGGCTTGAAGGACTACTACAAAGCAAGTAAGCTGACAATATTTATAGTGTTTACCTTAATCTCAATGATCTTTGGCACCGTCAGCTTTATTGGAGGGTTCAACGCTTTCAATGTGTAGTAAGGGGAGGTTCTTACACATTTTACACATTTTACACATTTTGCACATTTTACACATTTTACACATTTCACACATTTAATTTCAGTTTACAACACGGATCTAGAAGATGAGATCAAAGGTGAAACTGACTCTCCATTCAAGGATTTCCTGGTTGAGGTGCTTGACCGCCCTAAGTTCAATGAATCAGGTACATACTCCTTCAGTTCAGACAAATAAGTGCGTTATTCATTAAAGTTTAAAAGTTTTATTGTTTTTAGTTAATCTTTTGAGTTTTGTAAAAATCAAATTGAGAACATTAATATGTTCCTAATTATAGCTGAGGTTGACAACGAAGCGGTAGAAGCCGACTTTTCCGACATCAAAGAGTTCCTCGCTGCAAAGGAGGTGAAGGACATAGTATATCTAGTGACAAGCAGGAGCCTCAAACATTTGGCTATTTTGCAGGAAAAGTACTATCAGGTGATGGGTATTAACGTTATTTCAATTATATTTATAAGGTTAAACAACTTTCTGATTGGAGACTTAAAGAACTACGTGGCGCTATAATAAAATAACAAGCGCGGTGTTTCAGGGAAGTGCCCCCCCCCCCCCTCCCGCTGAAAAAGCGCCCCCCTGTTGGCGCCCCTCCCCTTGTGGCGCCCCTCCCTAAAATAAAACAAATTAGATGATTTTAGAGGATACGCCGGTAAAATCTCTAAAAAAGTAAAAAGAGTGTTTTTAGATCAAAACGCGCAGTTTTTCTAGTACCGTAGTTAAGTTTTTCCAAATTGTCTCACATTCAAACGACAATTTGGCGCCCCCCCCCCCCCCCCCTAAAATGGCGCCCCCCCCCCCCCCCCCCCTGCAAAGCGGAGTCGGCGGGGCCCTTCGTTACGCCACCGTTTCAGAGTGAAGGTTCTGAGCTGTACCAAGCACTGGAAAGTATAACAGATCACCATATGAAGGACGGGTTTGTCAGTTTGATGTCAGTTGCTACTGACTTTACCAGATACTGCGCTTACGAACTTCACAACGCAATGGATGTGAGTTTAAATATTAGTGTTACTGTTAAACTCATTAAATACATAGTGTAAGGGCAGCCTCGCTCCACCAAGGGAGATGTATATATTTATATTCTTATTTTCAAGGGGGACGGCACGGAGGAGGGAGTTCTGACTCGGATCATTACTACTCGGGCAGACAAGGATCTCGCTGACATTAAGGAAATGTACTTTGAAATGTTCAACAAGAAACTTAGCCAACAAATCAAGGTCTTCCAACGCGTTACAATTAGGGTTTTTCCTGAAAATCTGTCTTATAATGTGTTATAAACACATATAGTTGTTATGTTCAAATCCATGGCTGGGGAACCGCCTAGTTGTGGAACTTTTCAAACCTATATTACTACTGTACTACCTATAGTACAGTAGTATTATAGGTAGTACTACTATTTAATAGCTACTATTTGACATAGGAGCTATTATTTGACGTAGGAGCGTCTAAATTTCTAAGGTTGACAATTTCAGGATGACACAAGCGGTGATTACAGAAAAACTCTCCTTAGCCTCGTGAACTGACTTTCTTCTCTAGTAGCAGAGTACTACTATACACAACGAGGAGAGATAACACTAATATTATTCATGATTTATAAAATGTGTATTGTTTTGAAATTAAATAAACTCTACCTTATATGGTCATTGGTCATTAACTGCGACTTTTTGAATAATTGACTGTTTGACGATTGAATATATTGTATATGATACTATGATGATAGTATCAAGAGACTACCAAATAAGGCACAAGCAGAAGCTGCTGACACTAATTTTGCATCAACTGTATGAAAATTTAATATTTCATTAATTATAAAAGGATTAAATAAAAGTATTTTTGATTTAAATTTGAGTTCTTTCATCAAACAAGAAATGAAATAAACATTTGCGGGCTGCTGGTAAATTGTACATATTATCACTTCAACAGTCTGTATTCTGTAAATAAATGATCTCAGAAAGAGAGAAAAAGTCAGCATAAATGATAGTAAAATCAGCTCCCACTAAGTGAAACACATTATTAAGTATAGTGATACACTAAGTGAAACAGTCTACTAAATATAGTGATACACTAAGTGAAACACTCTACTAAGTATAGTGATACACTAAGTGAAAAACTCTACTAGGTATAGTGATACACTAAGTGAAACACTCTACTAAGTATAGTGATACACTAAGTGAAACACTCTACTAAATATAGTGATACACTAAGTGAAACACTCTACTAAATATAGTGATACACTAAGTGAAACACTCTACTAACTTACTAAGTATAGTGATACCCTAAGTGAAACACTTTACTAAGTATAATAGTGATACACTAAGTGATACACTCTACTAAGTATAGTGATACACTAAGTGAAACACATTACTAAGTATAGTGATACACTAAGTGAAACACTCTACTAAATATAGTGATACACTAAGTGAAACACTCTACTAAGTATAGTGATACACTAAGTGAAAAACTCTACTAGGTATAGTGATACACTAAGTGAAACACTCTACTAAGTATAGTGATACACTAAGTGAAACACTCTACTAAGTATAGTGATACACTAAGTGAAACACTCTACTAAATATAGTGATACACTAAGTGAAACACTCTACTAACTTACTAAGTATAGTGATACACTAAGTGAAACAATCTACTAAGTATAGTGATACACTAAGTGAGACACTCTACTAAGTTTAGTGATACACTAAGTGAAACACTCTACTAAGTTTAGTGATACACTAAGTGAGACACTTTACTAAGTATAGTGATACACTAAGTGAGACACTTTACTAAGTATAGTGATACACTAAGTGAGACACTTTACTAAGTATAGTGATACACTAAGTGAGACACTTTACTAAGTATAGTGATACACTAAGTGAGACACTTTACTAAGTATAGTGATACACTAAGTGAGACACTTTACTAAGTATAGTGATACACTAAGTGAAAAACTCTACTAGGTATAGTGATACACTAAGTGAAACACTCTACTAAGTATAGTGATACACTAAGTGAAACACTCTACTAAGTATAGTGATACACTAAGTGAAACACTCTACTAAATATAGTGATACACTAAGTGAAACACTCTACTAACTTACTAAGTATAGTGATACACTAAGTGAAACAATCTACTAAGTATAATGATACACTAAGTGAGACACTTTACTAAGTATAGTGATACACTAAGTGGGACACTCTACTAAGTTTAGTGATACACTAAGTGAAACACTCTACTAAGTTTAGTGATACACTAAGTGAGACACTTTACTAAGTATAGTGATACACTAAGTGAGACACTTTACTAAGTATAGTGATACACTAAGTGAGACACTTTACTAAGTATAGTGATACACTAAGTGAGACACTTTACTAAGTATAGTGATACACTAAGTGAGACACTTTACTAAGTATAGTGATACACTAAGTGAGACACTTTACTAAGTATAGTGATACACTAAGTGAGACACTTTACTAAGTATAGTGATACACTAAGTGAGACACTTTACTAAGTATAGTGATACACTAAGTGAAACAATCTACTAAGTATAGTGATACCCTAAGTAGGCTTTATCTATAAGTTTTCTTGTTCCTCTACCTAACAGTCAGGGGTGTAGGCCCCCTCAGTCAGGGGTGTAGGCCCCCTCAGTCATGGGTGTAGGCCCCCTCAGTCAGGGGTGTGCCCCCCTGCCCCATCTTCCTGCACCCTGCTAACAGTACTACTAGTAGTTCTTGTTCCTGATGATGTTTTCTAATAGGTCGGATTTGCGAAGTAGCAGGTTTTGTCACGAGAGAAGTCTATGCCATCCTCGAGACAATCTTGTTCAGTTTGGCACTTGATGAACTCGTCTGGAAAATATTCCAATCAAATTAAATTGAACGTGTCTCGACGTTTTATTAAATTGTAAGTTAACCGTGACTTAATGAAACCTAAATAAATATGTATCGAAATTGTACCTATAAAATACACTAAAAAGATTTAAATTTAAGCTGTATTATCATTACAGATAGCTAGGAAACATAAAAACGGGCAGCAGTTTCGAAAACCCTTTTAATTTTGATACCATTGCTTTTATTAAGTCAAATGCTGTTACCTTTTTTATTAAGCGCAAGAGAGTATCCACGGTGATTCACAGCACATTCATTTTCCTTATTCAGACACTGCTTCCAACAGTACCCTTTCTGCAAGGAAATTTAATTATTCACTATTCGAATCATCGCTGATAATAATAATTATCATTTAAAATTATGAAATGAGGTTTTCAATATGAAACAACCATTTATAAATACACACTGATTTGCTGAGAAAGTTCTAGATAATTGTGGTATAACAGCAGCGTGTTAAGAGATTCAATACATACATGACAGTATAATTCAACTTCAAGAGTCACGTGATTCTGCTACATATAGACAAAATGGAAGACAAATGTTGGCTGTGTTAACCGCTGCTAGAAATATATAACCACAGTTAGGGGTCGTTCACATGTTACGTAATCAGCTGAGGGGGGGGGGGGGGGGTTCCGAATGATTACGCTAGTGTAATTTTGACACAATAGCTATGTGTAAAACTGATTACGGAGCTGGGAGGGGGGGGGGGGGTAAAAATGATCCAAAAAATGATTACGTAATAATATGTGAACGACCCCTAACCGCGTAATACCTGACAACCATAGCTGCAGAAGCTGTTGTCGAGATCGCAGTGTCCGAATATCTCTCCATTCTCCGGCATGTGATAAGCACACCCCTTCTGTGATATGTTCTCGTAGGAGTTAGATGACGTAACCAGTAGCAACGTGACCACCACACTGCAAAACGCTTTCATACCGCTACTCTAGTAAGGGAGGAGACTGAGGCTTCAAATAATTGTGAACTAACTAATTAGTAATTAGTATAAATGCAATAATCGAACTCGGCTTCGCCTCGTGCGATTATTGTATCAATTTCCACTCGGCTGCGCCTCGTGCAATTAATAGTGTAATCGCATTATACGCAGTTAGATTAGCGTATATAAATATCTCCGGGATTTCGACGCGGGATCATATTATCACTCAGCCCGGCCCGCTGTTAGATAAACATCTCAAGGTGATATCATCCCGCCCCGGAAATTTGTATAAACCCGGCCCGCTTTTTAGTCGTAACTGATGTTTATCATTCAATTCTCCGACTTACAATAATCAATGATACTGCTGATTAGAACTCGATAATAGTAGAACAGTTAGACGCGCGATCACGTGGGCGCGTCACGTGCGTACCACGTGCCACCAATAGCATACGCCGAGTCTATACCACGTGACACGAAAGCGCACCACGTGATATGAAACACCGTAACCGTCCACTTCTTTTACACGCAAATTCCTGGGAACGTTGCCAAAGCAGCTAATTCTTGGAATTTCTCCAACGCGTGGCGTGAGAAGTTGGCGACTAGCCAGCTACCCTTGTCCGTGCCCTAAAAATAGTATTGTTTTGCTTGCTCTCCTTCCAGCTCTTGTTCCTGCTAACGTTCAAGCTATTGCTCCACTATGACAGATCGGTTTGACATTCAGATTGATGAACTGCTTTCCAATCGTGTTCCGGACAGTACAGTTAGAGTCAACAACTGGGCTCTAAACAAATTTAATTCTTGGCTTCAGTCATCCAGATTTCACTTGTTATCACCATCACAAATAGAAATGAAAATATTACTAAAATCAGACCCGTATTCCGAAATAAAAACTATTTTATCACTCTCTTCTAAAGTATAAATCCCTTGTCGAAATCGCCGGAGATAATTATAATCCATAAACACTTCACGCTCAGGGCTAAATAAATGTAATCCCTCAGCTGGCGCTTCGGGATTACATATTAACACAAAACTCGTGCGCTGCGCGCACTCGTATGTGTTTATCAGATCATCCCGCTAGCGCGGGATGATCTGTTATATAAACCCTTTGCGTGGCGGGTTTATGTTATTATAACTATACTGTTAAGACTGGCACCGCTGCAATTGCACCACTCCCACTAAATCGCCCAAATTTTGAAAATCTTGACGTCAATCGATGTATTTTTGGACAATGATTCCAAATCATCCCCATGACGCGACGTAATACTAATAATAAATAATAAGGTAATAATAAATAAAGTAAAACTGCTTCCCTGCGGAGGTTTGAGCAAAATAATATAAGCTTAAGTCCATGGTGACATTTTTGTAATATAAATCACACTTGTATTGCTAAGTTAGAATATGCATAATAAGTCATATAAAACTTGATGTTTCCTTTTTATATTGTTTGATAGTGCACTCCTCGGTATCCAAACGAGGATACATTCCAATAAAATGGAAAAGGTCAAATGGGCGTCAATAAGATGTAAACTTAAAGTATTTGCTAAATAGAATATAGTGACACTGTCCCGATACTTCTAATATATATTATTAACGGAATACAATTACTGTAGGTTAATCACACAAACAATGCTTTTAACAATTATATAATGCTCATCAATCTATAATTGAATATGATCCCCCCCTCTATATAATCAATCATCGCACATCTATTAATAGATTATTGGTACTGCGTCTAATTGATAGTCAAGTGCCCATGAAGCTTGCACTAAGTGAGTTACTAAGTCACCACGCACTGAACTCAATCAAGCCACACAAATACGCATTATGTCTTACGAGATACAACAATCCGATGCATATTTGATCTATATTAGCACTGCTATGGCAGATACAGGGGAAACGTCCATCCCGTCGCAAAAACGCCCAGAAATGCACTGGCCCCCCTGCACTTGACTGGTAGAACAACATGCTTTGTCACTGGCCTACATAGTTTAGGTAGTG